ACTGCACTGCCCTCCCCTCCCGCCGCCAGCCACTTGCACACTGGGCCACAGCTTTACCCTGCCACCATGGCCCAGCTGTTACTCCCCTCAGGCCACAGCTCTACCCCAGAGAGGAGGTGGGGGTGGCAGGCAGTGTCGCATGTGCCCCCCCACCCCGGCCCCCTGATGCATCATCTGTGTCCTCCCCACCCACCATAGACTTACCTGCAGGGAGCTGTGGGAGCTGCTCTTCATGCTGCCTGGCTGTCACATGCATGTGCCTGATCACCCCGCTCTCACTTCTCGCAGACCCATGTTTTTCTCCTTTAAAGAAGAATCCATTTTTAAAGTTTGTTGACCCATTTTTTAAAGTTTGTTCACACCCCTTTCATATATTCTTGCAACCCACTTTTGGGTCACAACCCACAGGTTGAGAAACACTGCTCTAGGAGGCTTCACCTACAGTACCAGATGAAGTTGCAACATCAGGACTGGGACATAGTGTGGCCACTACGACTGTAACTATATAGCTTTACTGATTGAACATGATATGGAAGCAGATATGGTAGAGACTGAGGCAGCCCTTAGCCTGTAGCTGTGAATGGACAGTGACCCTAGACCACTGGGAAGAAAGGATTTGATTTTCCATTTCATACAACTATATATGGTAACATTTAGTTTTACCATTACAGCAATAGTATTTCAGCCAACAGTCTACGAAACTGTTCTGATACAAGCTGACAACAAACTGATGAGTTTTGCTGTAGTTTGGATTTCCAGTAGAGTTTCTAGATGCATGCATCTTTTCTCTCTTGCCTTCAGATGCTTGCAGTGTTTCTTACCCAGCTTGAAAGACAGAAGGGTGTCCAGTCATCAGGCATCTTGTTGATTTATTGGCTACTGTCATTCCTGTCTAGTATTGTGACTGTTAATTTGAAAATTCAACATGCCATGAAATTGGTAAGTGCAACTTTGTTGATTTAATACGCAGAGGGATGAAGCTTCTTGATAACAATATAGCTCCACGCAGTCCCCTCATTTTCTGTCTCAGTCCAGACCCAAACAAGGTAGTAGATGAAAATCCACTCAAGATGGTCACTCTGAAGTAGTGGGAGTAGGGGGAGCCATTAGTCTGGCAGCTGAAAATAAACGTTTCAACTGACCTGTAGGCTAACAGAGGACTTCTTCAGTCCCCAGGTTTTCTGACCATTACATTCACCGCACATATATAAGCAAAATGGCTGCTTGAATTGCAGTGCTCTTGCCAAGGCATTGCCTACTCACCGATTTTGTACTAATATAAATGTGCAAGTAGGAATGTTAGTAATTACCAGCATAGTAATACTACTGTAGTCACTAATGTAGACACAGCCTATGGTGGTGTTGAATTGACTGATTGTACACCTATCACAGATTCTAGGCCCATTATTTTTATCACCCCTACATTAATCATTCAGTCACTTTGTTACATGAAATGTTGAGCTATTCTTTCATACTCAGCCTATTGCACAGTCCCTAACTGACAAGCATCCCACAAGTGGGGTCTTATACTGATTTCACTAGTTTAACAATACCAGTAGGTGCATATTTATACTGATCTGTGTCCACACTGGGGAAATTATGTTGATTTAACCATGCTGGTATCATTAAAGAGGTACAATTTGAGTGGACACAGTCAAAAGTATAAGCCTAAAGGTTTTTATACTTGACCCCTCCTTTAGTTTAAATTATACAGCTACGAACATTTACAGAAATCTGTCTAGTCAAAGTCTAAGGCTTCAATTTTCAAAGTAGCCCATGGGAATTTCATTAGGATTTGGGATCTAACTTTCTTGAGCTGCTTTGAAAACTCCATGCTGAAACCCTTCCCATGAATTACCATTATGCTCAGCTTCTCATTTGTGTTCCTTAGTGTTTTGTCCTTTTCTAGTTGCAAGAGTTATTATTATTACTAATAATTATAATTATTCTAATAATTGAGGTATTTGTATAAAGCATTATTGGAGATGAGTGCAGAAAATGTGACACACTCACACCAGCACTCAGAGCTTGGGGCTCAGGCACCATATGAACCCATCTCTCTTTACATGATTTTACATGAAGTGTTTTACTTCTCCTGAACAATCTTCTGGTTTCAGGGCTTCCTGGAGGACCCCTTCCATCACATCACTTCTTACATCTATTCTACCTTGGTGCTAGTAGAATTGGTGATCTCCTTCTTTATAGATCAGCCTCCCTTCTTCTCCAAAATTGTCAGTGATTCCGTAAGTACAATCAGCTTTTTAAAAATGCATCAGTCCTTTGTCTAAAACCAGTATCGGTCCTGAGGGATGGGCACTGAGGAACATTCTATTATTTACACTGCCCTGCTCAGTAAAAGCAGGAGAAAAAGAGAGATGTAGGTGGAGTCACCAGTAGGTAAAATGTGGCCCTCAGGATCTAAATACAGTAGGGCAATCCTAGAAAAGTTGGTCTTGAGATCTGAGTGTATATTTGACATTTTTCCACTTTATCCTACACAAGATGATTCCAACAAATGACCAGGCTGAGCACTGAACCATTGCTACAGCAATGTGTGTCTGCCAGTGGTGTATATGGGGTAGTGATGCTTTACATGTACATCCTCAAAACCTGGTGACCTAGCTCCACCCACACCCCTTACCTTTATTTTCATAGATATTGATGTGTGGTGGAGTTTCTGTGGCTCTCCTAACCTGTGATAAAGTAGACCCACTGCTTAGGAAAGCTTATTCTGTGCAACTCTGATTTAGCTAGTCTGTCAAGTGCACACCTACCCTACCTTTTCCTTGACTTCAGTCTAACTTGGCTAACTACGTCTTTCACCCAGCTCCATCACTGAACCCCTCTTCAGTATAATCATGGGAGCTCTACTTTTTCTTTGATGAACAAGTCAAAGCACACTTCTGAAGGAAATAAAAGCTTGCAAGTCATAATATGGAAAACAGTATACTCTACTATCTTAAGATCTGCTCAGGTTTGATAAGTGTACTCTGTTTAAATGCATAGCTTCAGAACAAAAAAAAGGCTGTGCATTTACCTGGCTTATGCGCTTATATGAACATAATGTAACCATACATGGTGTTGTGGTATTAGGAGCCCTCAAATTGACTACCTTCCAGCATTTTCAAGGTTTCTAATAGCAGTCCTTTGACAGGTACTTCCCCTTCACTGTTTCTGGAGCAGAGCAAGGGTAGTTACAGAGTGTGGGGCTGAAAGATGTTAGGCACTTCAGCAGCACATGCACATAACTGGCAATATAGGCAACAGCTTGGGGATAGTATTACGTTATACAATTCAATAA